GATTGCATAGGGCCATGACCGTAGACCAAACGGTGCCATAGCCAAGGAGTACCTATGGTGACTCCTCGCTTTATCCAACTTTTGAATACCTTAAGAGTGTTTAAAATTGCTTTTATTCAGCTCTACAATTCTATGATTCTGTGTCACACCAGTGCTCAAATTGGGGTGGATCTATCAATCTGTCTATCATATTGATATCCTACCTTTACTCCAAGGAGCTCAAGGTGGCCTTTATGGTTCTCTTCCTCCTCATTTTATCCTCACAACAACCCTGTAAGATAGCTTAGGCTGAGAGACGGCAACTGGACCAAGGTCACTTACTGAGTTTCATGGCAGAGCAGAGATTTGAACCGTGGTCTTGCTGGTCCTAGTCCAACACTCTAACCATGACACCACACTGGTTAAAACCACCCTGCTTATTTTTGGTGATTATAATTGAGTCTGGCCTAATCTGAAACAAAACCACCCCATGCGCTCTTTTCTATTTCAGTTTTAACACTGGACCATATTAACTGTCAGGGACGCGGGTGGCACTGTGGGTTAAACCACAAAGCCTAGGACTTGCCAATCAGAAGGTCGGCAGTTCGAATCCCCGCAATGGGGTGAGCTCCTGTTGCTCGGTCCCAGCTCCTGCCAACCTAGCAGTTCAAAAGCACATCAAAGTGCAAGTAGATAAATAGGTACCGCTCTGGCAGGAAGGTAAACGGCATTTCCGTACGTTGCTCTGGTTCGCCAGAAGCGGCTTAGTCATGCTAGCCACATGACTCAGAAGCTGTACACCAGCTCCCTTGGCCAATAAAGCGAGATGAGCGCCGCAACCCCAGAGTCGGCCACGACTGGATGTAATGGTCAGGGGTCCGTTTACTATATAAACTGTACCACCCCCAACCAGCATTTAGCACATCCTGGATTTCTTTTCTTTCTTTCTTTCTTTCTTTCTTTCTTTCTTTCAAGAAAGGTGCTTGCACAAGTACAGAAATACCTGTGTGCATACCCAGAGTGGAAAACGGTGGTGGATGAATGATTGAGGAAAAGAACAGATCAAAACTCAGCCCAGATACATTCTGTCAAGCTCTGCCTATTGGCATGGATGGGAAATGGCAGAATAGCAATGAAGATCCATGGTGGGGGGGCAGGGGAAATGCAAATGTATGCAAGGAACTTGCCAAACACACACAGAGAAAAATTGGATCTGAATGTCCTGTTTGCAATATAAGGTCTCTATCTATAAGCACCCTTCGTTTGAACACAGGAATAGACCTTATAGGCTTCTATCATGTCGCTGATCTGTCTAGCTCTGTAATGGGACAGGGGTCTTTTCCAGCCCTACTTTGCAATGTTGATGATTGAATCTGGAACTTTCTGTGTTCACTGCATGTCTTCTGTATACTAGGGCTGGGCGATATCTGATTTTCAACATCACGATATGTCACCAGCTAAATATCACGATATCTCGATGGATCACAACATATATCTATAAGGGTCTTCATGAGGCTCCGCACAATGGTGGAGGGCCTTAAAATGTAAGGTAGCAGTAGATTTTTTATATATATATAACTTCCATATAATATATTTAATATATTTTCAACTAATTTAAGAGTAGTTTAAGTGATTAACTAGTCAAGACCTCCTTCCCCACTCAGAGGTCTAAGTGGAATCTATGCATGCATAAGCCCCACTGAGTTCAACTAAACTTACTTCTACTTTCCTGGGAATAAGCCTCATTGAATTCAGTAGGGCTTGCTTGTGAGTAGACATGCATTTGCTTGCACTGCTTACCGAAAAACACCCTCCCCATCATTCTCATATAGTACCCAACCTCCCTTTTCAGCATAAGGCAGCCAGCTAAATCTTCGCACCTCCACCCCACCCACCCCTGCCAGAAGCCCCCTCTCCAGCCCTCATCCCAAGAATCTCTCCCTTTTTATCAGAGGGAGGGAGGGTGGGCAAGTAAGCAAGAAGATAGTCTCCTTTAATTAATAAAAAGCCTTCCTTTTTGATATGAAGCTATTTAGGGGGAACCAACAACAGAATTGATGCTTTTGAATTATGGTGCTGGAGGAGACTCTTGAGAGTCCCATGGACTACAAGAAGATCAAGAAGATCAAACGTATCCATTCTTAAGGAAATCAGCCCTGAGCGCTCACTGGAAGGACAGATCGTGAAGCTGAGGCTCCAATACTTTGGCCACCTCATGAGAAGAGAAGACTCCCTGGAAAAGACCCTGATGTTGGGAAAGATTGAGGGCACAAGGAGAAGGGGATGACAGAGGATGAGATGGTTGGACAGTGTTGTTGAAGCTACAAACATGAGTCTGACCAAACTGCGGGAGGCAGTGGAAGACAGGAGTGCCTGGCGTGCTCTGGTCCATGGGGTTACGAAGAGTCGGACACAACTAAACAACTAAACAACAACAACAAACAACAACATAAACACCACTAGAAAACAAAAATAAAAACCCTTCCCCCTCTTTTTTTTCACCAGTGGGGGTCAGTGTGAGGAAAGAAAAAAGAGCCTTCCAGTTCTTTGTTTACATTGCCACTGGATTTTTGAATGTCTAGCTGTGGGGGGGGGGTTTCCTCCTGGATTGTTAGTAGCTTTTGCATAATTAGCTGAGCTCTAAGTGGAAAGATACTGGTGAAGCTGAAATGGTTTGCTGGTTTGTGTGAGGGCTTCTCATCATTTCTTCTCAGTTAGGAGGGAGGAGGAAGAGAGCAAACAAAGCACTGTGCCTGCAAATTATCTGTAAAGTATGGGTTCAACTGAGCTATCCCCTGGGAAGCTGTTAAGTGTCCACCTTTTGTTCAATGGTATATTGCCTTGTTGAAACACTTATCACAAAGTCTTTTCAATACCGGTATTCAATAGCGATTTATTGCACAGACCTACCGTATGCTACTGGCTTTGTTTTATGCCAAGTACTTTTTCGGTACTTTCATGGTTAAAGCTCCCTGGATTTGTGTTTGTGATAGTGCTCTTCTTCATTGCTGACCTGTTCCAAACCTTATTTTACCCTTGGAAAAACAATGGGACAGGAGTTGCAATAGATGGTCAAGTGGGTTGGTTATTGGCCAGTTAATTACATTCTTCCTAACCTCTCTTCTAGCTGATGCTTCAAAATAGGGTATTGTTCTTCTGATGAGAGTGCCAAGATCCTCATCCCGGAGCTGTCAGGGGAAGAAATATTGGAATCATTTTATGCTGCTGATCATCGGTTATTGCGCTCTTGTTTTGGTGTGTGTGCAAGAGACAAGCGTTCAAGCAGAAATGGTCCTAGATAATCCATTAAGTTTACATTTGAGATGAATTACCTGTGTGATTGACACTGAGGAGGGGCTGCCATCCAATCTCCCAATGCGACAGCTGGGGCAGGAACGTGGGAAACTTCAAAGTGACTTGGAGTTTCGAAACCTATTGGAAATTGCAAAAGGAGTGGAGGAGGAGACAGAAAAGAGAACAGCAATTTCAGGACGCCTTCTGAAAGCAGAGATGCATGCTTCTGTCTGCCGCTAGAAATCCCTAAGTCCTGTTCAAATGTATGAAAGGGAAACCAGTGCAGACTGGTACCACTAGGATAACTGGACCCCTATACAAACCAACTCCAGTCTGCCCTCAGCCAACTCCTATCTTCCTGCCCACCCCCTTCCTACCAGGGAAGGAGGTAGCACTGCCTGTCAACTTCCCCCTCCTTCTTGGTTTCCGTGTTGCCCTTGTCAAACTCAGTGGGAGAAGGATGGGGACCAAACTAGCATTAATTGGCTCTCTGGCTCCACCTACTGTTTGGCTCCCTGCCTTTTGCCCAAACAGTCCCAAGTGGCATCAGCCACATCTGAGGGCAACTGAACTACTCCTTGTGTGGCTTTGCTTGTATTGTCCTGGAGTGTTGGTCTCATATGTTTGGTTCAGGCTTCCTCAACCTCGGCCCTCCAGATGTTTTTGGCCTACAACTCTCATGATCCTTAGCTAGCAGGACCAGTGTCAGGGATGATGGGAACTGTAGTCTCAAAACATCTGGAGGGCCAAGGTTGAGGAAGCCTGGTTTAGTTGTTAAGATGGCCTCCTTTAAGTCTTCTCTGGAAATTGGCATGTCTTAGACTACAGGGTGGTATAATAGTTAGAGTTTTGAAACTGAAAGCTCCAGTTAGGCTGAAATGTGTGTACATTTCAAGCAGCCATTGCACACGTGCAGATGGCAATTCAGTAAATTGGAGTTCGGTGCAGGGAAACAAATCAGGTAAAGACATCCTTGTCACATTTCTGGTCTGTACAGCATCGTCAGAATGAGACTTGAAATGCAGTGGGGTGTGTGTGTGTGGAAATGGCCTCACTATGTTTCAAGCCACTAATGTGTACAAAGCCAGAGTGTCATAGTGACTATGAGGAAGATAATTGCCAACCGGTGGTGCAAGTGCTGCACCCCATCCTGTGGTTTTAGCCCCTGCTTCTCTTCGGCCTAATTGCTTCTTGGCACAGACTTCAAAAGCCCTCTAGCCTCAGCCGGGATGATCGGCTTCACATACAGTGATACCTCGGGTTACATACGCTTCAGGTTACATACGCTTCAGGTTACAGACTCCGCTAACCCAGAAATAGTAACTCGGGTTAATAACTTTGCTTCAGGATGAGAACAGAAATTGGGCTCCAGCGGCACAGCAGCAGCAGCAGGAGGCCCCATTAGCTAAAGTGGTGCTTCAGGTTAAGTACAGTTTCAGGTTAAGAACGGATCTCCGGAACGAATTAAGTACTTAACCCGAGGTACCACTGTACCCCTGTCTCTGCCGGGTCTCGTAGCAGCCATCAGCAGCCTTACTCTCCTGTAAGTGCCGTGGATCTGGGCCCATAACCCTGTTGTTGGGATGAGTCCGGGGAGACAGGGGCATTTGGCAGCCGGGCGAACTCCGGTTCTCAGAACAGCATCAATCAGCAACTCGAGCCTCAGAAGCCTTCAGAAGCTGAGTATGCTCTTATCAGCAGAGTGAATAATTTTTCACAACGGAAGTGGCGGACAGAGACATGTGTAAGCATATTTACAGGCATTTATTCAGCATCAGGAACAAAGGAAAAAATATGTCTGCTTCCCTTCGTGTCCAAGCAAACAGCAGCATAGCAAAAGCTATATACAATGGAAGTTCCCAGCAGACTGTGCTGGAAGTAAACAGACATGTGACATACAACAATCCACACATCTGTTCTAAAGGTGGAATGGAACTATATCCTAACATCCAGCTGACTGCAATTATTCTATTATTTTCACAGCATACGAACGGAGCCAACAGAATGAGGCGGATTTTTACTCGCTACTTCTTTAAATGGTGGCGGTAGGGGCTTAACCTGGCCTCTTTGTAGAATCATAGAACTACAGAGTTGCAAAGGACCCTGATGATCCTCTAGTCCAACCCCCCGCAATGCAGGAATATGCAGCTATCCCGTATGGGGATTGAACCTACAACCTTGGTGTACATCGGCACCATGCTCTAACCAACTGTTCAAGAGTTCAAGAGTTCTCTGTCCAAGAGTTCAAGAGTTCTCTGTCCAAAGTCTGTGCTCTTGAGTTATAGACCCTCCCTGTAGTTAAAGCCTTTCTGATTTTTAAAAACAGCCTTTTGTCTGTGACACAATCCCTATTGTCTTGCTTGGGTTGAAGTTCGCAGTCTCTTAATGCACAGGATAGAGCAATCACTGGGTTGCTTCTCTTTAAGATCCACTTCCCTTTGCCTTTGGCATCGTTAAATTTGCCCTTTGGAAGCTTGGTAATGTACACAGCCAGGCACAGATGGCCCGAGCAGGCTGGTGAGCACACTTCCTCTTCATTTGTGTGATGCGAAATTGTCTTTTAAGTGACTAAAGTGCAATTGCAATAATGACAAAGAATTCCAGATGCCTTAGCAAAGAGCGGGTGGCAGCGGCGGGGGAGATTCCTTAGACCCTAAAGGATACGAACAAAAGCTTTGTATCATTGCTTGTGTGTTTGTGTGTGTTGGGGAACTGCTGTTAATGCTTCTCACACAGGCCTTTCTGTTTCATGCTGAAACTGCCCCCCTCCCAGCTTCACATCTCTGTTGTCCCTAGAAGTGTGGAGAAATCCTCTCCTAGGGAACAGTATTTCCATACAGTTTCCAGGCTTTTTACTAAAGAGATTTCCTCGTGGTATTCTGCCTTTATTTACTTCTACATTTGAATCCAGCTTTTTTAAAAATACAAGGAGCTCTCAAAGTGGCCCCATCTTCAGCAAAATGTGTTTAGAAGTTTCACAACACATAAAAAGACATTTGCTAATCTCTTTACATTGTTAAATGTTGGCCAGCTGACTTGTCCTCAGAAGCTTGCCAGTTCTAGGAGTGGTAGGAGAGGTGGGATATTGGGGATGAAGAGTGCTTGGCATGCAGAAGGTTGTAGCTTCAGTCCCCTGAAATGCCAGTATCATAAACTGTCAATATCATCATGCTGTTATACAAAGCTGTGGTGCAGCTTCATCCAGAATATTGTGTATAGTTCTGGTTGCTTCACATTGGAAAGGATATTGTAGGGTTGGAAAAGTTTCAGAAAAGAAGAGGAAGAAGAAGAAGAAGAAGAAGAAGAAGAAGAATTATTTTTTTCCTCCTTCTGCTTGTGCTTTTTTTTTAATGTATTATGTATATGATGTTAATGTAATCTGCCCCTGGGAGTGGGCAACAGATATCTTAAACGAAAATAAAAAACAACTGCTGCCAGATTGGATTGTTTCTCTTGTGGCAAAGGTTGCACTGGGTGCAGAGAAAGGGTGAATTTGTCGATAAGGTTGCTGCAGAAGACTCTGACCATTTTGGACCCTGTATATAAAAGAAAGAAAGAAACAAACAAACAAACAAATCCTGTAATCTAGAAAGGCGTACCAGCCGATGCTGTCATTGACCTTGCTAAGGTGAACAAGGAAAGGGTATAGAGAATCTTCAAACTTCCTAGATATTTCTCCCTGTGAAAAGTGTGTTTGTATAGATGTGGGCTGTGCAATAGCCATGACTGATTTCAAGTTGGTAGCGCCCTCCCATCCCCCAGCCATGACGGTAAGAAGAAGAAGAAGAGGAGGAGGAGGAGTTTGGATTTGATATCCCGCTTTATCACTACCCTAAGGAGTCTCAAAGCAGCTAACAATCTCCTTTCCCTTCCTCCCCCACAACAAACACTCTATGCGGTGAGTGAGGCTGAGAGACTTCAGAGAAGTGTGACTAGCCCAAGGTCACCCAGCAGCTGCATGTGGAGGAGCGGGGAATCGAACCCAGTTCACCAGGTTACGAGTCTACTGCTCTTAACCACTACACCATACACCAAATGATTAAGGGGGTGGTGGAAAAGGTTGCAGCCTTTGGGACATTTTAGAGAAAAGGCAAGTAAGAGGCGACATGATAGAAGTTTATAAAATTATACATGACCTGGAAAAAGCGGATGAAGAAAGGTTTTTCTCTTGCTCTCATCACGCTAGGACTTGTAGACGTCTAATGAATCTGAATGTTGGAAGATTCAAGACAGCCATGATGGCTTTGCTCTGCTTCCATGACCAGAGGCAGTCATGCTTCTGAATACCACCTGTTAGGAACAACAGGATGGGAGAGGGATCTTGTGCTTGGGTCCTGCTTGCTGGTTTCCCACAAGAGATCTGGGTAGAGATCTGTGGAAACAGGACTAGCAAGCCCTTTTTATGCTCTTAAGGTACAAGTAGCATGTTAGAGGAAAGACCTTTCTCCCCCTGAGACCCTGGAGAGCCTCAGGCAGATTAGATAACATGAGGCTCAGTGGACCATAGTCTGACCCTGGTATACAGCAGCTTCCTGTGTTTCTGAAATTCTGGAAAAATGAGGTTGTCACATCCACCTAACATTCAAGATCCATCTCCCTGCTGAATCTGTGAGTTCTGATCTTTGCTCAAGTAGACAGCAATATGCCGCAATTGCTTTAGCCTTCTGTAAAGAGAGTTAAAATTTTACTGGGTAGCAAAGTGGACATTTATCCTTGTGCCTCTTGTGTCTCTTGTGCCTCCAAACGATTCGTCCAAACGCTTTCAAGTTGCCAGGTTCCCATCAAGAAAGATGAACTTGTGGTGAACAACAAGAGAAGGACTTTGTCTAGTTTTCTACAACTATGTACCCTTGGGAGTCTGAACCATCGCCTTTCCATTAAGTTCACAGGAGGCTCCATCAGTGTCCTTCATCATGTTACCCAAAGAGGCAGGCAATCATCCTTCGCAAGCATCCTGCCACCTAGGGAGAAATCCCATACGTGGGTTCAGCTTTGTAAATTGGTTTATGTAGGCTTTTCACTATTACAGCTGGTTCTTCTCTCACACGGTTTTGCTGCTTGGAGGCTGCAGTATCAAGTGATTTCCTGCATGTGGGAACTGACCAGTGCAGATCAAGCACACCCCAGATAGAACTTTGTACGCAACACTTGCCTATACAATTTATTGAGAGTGTTTATCGCCTGCGACTCAGTTTGTATAAATTCCCGAAGTATGTAACAAAGCAGCATTTTAAATAAGAAGAGCGGGGGGAGGGGAGGATAACAAGAGCACAGAAACAGCAGGAAAAGAGCAGTAAACAAAAGACTCAGGCAGCATAAAGCCAATATTTGAGTTTAAAGAGAAGATCATAAATATTCAGTATAAAAGTCAACTGGTCACTTTCTGTGCAATGGAAGCCAGTTACTAAAATGTATGGGCAAACAAATTTATTGACCTGGCACATGGGCATATCCAAGGGGGCAGAGGGTCAGCTACCCCCTTAAATCAAGTAAATAAATAAGAATACTTAACTAACTGGCCAATTGCATCACAGATAGCTCGGTTCTGCCCCCCCCCAACAGAAATCCTGCCCCCTAACATAAATTATGGTTATACCCATGGCTTGGTGCCTATAGCTTACTAATAAGAGTACCATATTAGTCTCCCCGGAGAGGACATACTATAAACAAGGCACTGCCATTGAAAAGCCTCCCTGACAGTCACTTGCTGTTCCTCCAAAGATGGAGACTGTGATGGACAATGTTGGGATATCATCCTGGCCTGGGGACCCTTGGCCAATCATGGCAGGGAGAAGAAACAGCCAATCAGGAGAGAGTAAAGATGGTAAATGTAGATATAACAGTTTAACTGATTGGTATGGCTTGGCTAGAGAAGTATTTAGGAGTGGTCAGGGGTTTGTCAGGAAGGATAAACCTGTTCAATTTCTTTATGGGAAGGAAAAGGACCTAGAAGGGGGCTAGAGGTGTTTTACAGGCAGAGTAAAAACAGACAGCCGGTTGAGGAAGAAATCGTTTCATATGAAACAGTTCTGTTGTGGAGAATTCTAAACATAGTTATTGTTTAAACCTGAGGTTTGTGGCAGAAAAGAAGTCCTGTGCCTTGACTAGTGAAACAGCAAAGGTTTATCCCTCACTGAGTGTTGGTTAATAACAAAAAAGTTTTCGTTTCCATCATGCTTCAGCTTTAGGTACCTAGTGCCTACTCAGTATCAAGAGTTGTTGCTGAAAGATTTGTTTTATGCACTACCTCATATAGAGAATACCTGAATTCTCAGTTGATGGTGACAGGGAGTGATCAAGGTTCAATCACCCCAGACTGTCATGTTGCCTCACTCCCATCTTCTCTGACTTTGGGTCTAGATCCTAATTCTTAAGCAGGTTCATGCAGCAGCCTAAGGCCCAGATTGTGAGTCACCGAACAGTAAAAGCAAACATGAATCATCCCTAAGAGGATCTTTTCAAAGTCAGGTTGCTGCACCCTACAACTGTTCCAAACCTGCTAAGGAAGCAACCCATCTCATACCCATCTCCTTTAAGCTTGTTGACAGCATAAATGGTTTTAAAGTTGAAATCTCTCTTTCCCCCCCTGCCCTGCTTTTTTAATAGTTGTGGCCTTGGGGGAGGGAGGAACTCAATCAGAACTTGACTTCTTGGGAGTCTGGGGGGCAATAATTTATGCATTCACTTTTGCTTCTGAACTGACGTACTGAGTATATTACAGCTCCAAAGGCTCACGCAAACAGAATTTCACTTTGATGAGATTCCCCTCAAAATGAAATCCTCCTAACTGCTCCTTTTTCTTGGGCACTTTGAATTAATTAAAGTATTCCATCAAATTATACTGAAGTTTCTTCCCTCTCTTTCTTCCTGAAACACTCTTAATTTCCATCCGCTTAACATAACTTCACCCAAAGGATGATCCTTGCAAGCTATATTTTTCTAAAATATTGTGCTGGAGAGCTGTAATTTGACACCCCACCCCCCTGCTAGAATTCCGAACTCTGCAACATCTCATCAGCAGATTGCAAATGCAGTAGTAATTACAAACCCACCAACTTCAGCAATATGTTGCATTATATCCGTCCTGTAGGAACAATGCAAATAACATTCAATCCAACAACTAGCTCCTGCCTCTGAGTCCCTAGGAAATCGACACAAAACTTGGAGTATAGGAAGATGCTTTATACTGAGTCAGGCTATTGGTGCATCTAGTTTAGCATCAACTATACTGAGTTTTCAGGCATGCCATTCCTAGAGATGCTGGCAACTGAACCCGTGACCCTCAGAAACTCTGCCACTGTGCTACAGCCCTTCCTCCTTTCACTTCTACCCCAAAACTAGGAATAAATTTGGACCACCACAATTTTCACCCCCTACTAAGACAAGGCCACTGGTCCCATCACCTCCTGGCAAATAGAAGGGGAAGAAATGGAGGCGGTGAGAGATTTTACTTTCTTGGGCTCCATGATCACTGCAGATGGTGACAGCAGTCATGATATTAAAAGACACCTGCTTCTTGGGAGAAAAGTGATGGCAAACCTAGACAGTATCTTAAAAAGCAGAGCCATCACTCTTTGTGACCCCTTGGACCAGAGCATGTCAGGCACTCCTGTCTTCCACTGCCTCCCACAGTTTAGTCAAACTCATGCTGGTAGCTTCAAGAACACTATCCAGCCATCTTGTCCTTTGTCGTTCCCTTCTCCTTGTGCCCTCAATCTTTTCCAGGGAGTCTTCTCTTCTCATGAGGTGGCCAAAGTATTACAGCCTCAGCTTCAGGATTTGTCCTTCCAGTGAGCACTCAGGGCTGATTTCCTTAAGAATGGATAGGTTTGATCTTCTTGCAGTCCATGGGACTCTCAAGAGTCTCCTCCAGCACCATAATTCAAAAGCATCAATTCTTCGGCGATCAACCTTCTTTATGGTCCAGCTCTCACTTCCATACATCACTACTGGGAAAACCATAGCTTTAACTATACGGACCATATGACCAAATGCTTTGGAAGGCAGGCCTAAGGCCAACAGGTAGAGACAATCCAACTGGTGCAGGAGACAAACCAATTGACCCAAGTGGTATAAAATCATAGCACTTTTCAAGCAATCGGCTCTCCATGTGGAGATGGTTGGGGGAAAGAAAATCCAGTGCTTTTTCTTCTGGGGGTACTCAAGGGTCTGTAGTACCAGCACCTTTCCCTCCCTCTCTAGAAGAAAAGCACTGGTTAAAAGTATGGCACTTACTGTCACAACTTCATGGTGAGTACTGACACCTTTTT